TGAAAAGAGAACCAAATGTATGGGAAAACATACTTGCCAATGATAACTTGGACAAGAGTTTGACCTCCAAAATACATAAAGAACTCACATGACTCCAGTGCAGGAAGACAAAGAACCCAATTAAAAAATGGGCAAAAGACCTGAACAGACACTTTTCCAAGGAGGACATATAGAGGGCCGAGAGACATATGAAAAAGACGGTCAGCATCACCAGTCATCAGAGAAATGCAAAGTAAAACCCACAGTGAGATACCACTTCACACCAGTGAGAATGGCCATCATAAACAAATGAACCAACAAAGTGTTGGAGAGAATGTGGGAAAAAGGGAACCCTAGTGCACTGTTGGTAGGAATGCAGACTGGTGCAGCCACTGTGGAAAACAGTATGGAATTTCCTCAGAAAATGAAAAATGGAACTGCTTTTGACCCAGGAATTCCACTGCTGGGATTATATCCTAAGAACCCTGGAACATCAATCCAAAAGAACCTATGCACCCCAATGTTCATAGTAGGACAACTGACAATAGCTAAGTGCTGGAAGCAATCTAAGTTTACATCAGTAAACGAATGGATCAAAAAACTGTAGTGCATTTACACAGTGTACTACAACGCAGCAGAAAGAAGGTGCTCCTACCCTTTGTGAAAGCTTGAATGGATCTGGACAGCATTTTGCTAAGCAAAATAATCCAGGCAGTGAAGGACAAACACCACATGATCTCACCTATAAGTGGAACCTAATCAACAAAACAAACAAGCAAAATATAACCAGAGACAATGACATTAAGAACGATCTGACAGTAACCAGAGGGGAGGTAGGAGGTTAATGGGGGGAAGGGGAGAAGGTTTTCAGGAACAACTATAAAAGACACATGGACAAAACCAAAGTTGGGGTAGGATCAGGGGAGGGAGGTATGGATGGCTGGGGTGGAGGCAAGTAGTGGAGGGAAAATGCAGACAAGTGTAACTGAACAACAATAAAATTTTTAAAATAATTAAAAAATAGAAAGTCAATGTTACCTTTTCAAAATCCCTGGCGTAATTATAAAGCACTAAATGAAGGCACATTTTCTTGGCCCAGAAATATGCTTTTCAAGTTAGTACAGGATCAAATTCAAAGGCTATTACCTATATTTAGTGTGATTACTCCATTACAAGCAAGGGTAATAAAGCAATAGTAATAGTAGTGGAGGAGACAGTGGCTCTTTCAGCATAATAATGAAGAGAAGAAATGTTCACAGGTGTCCTTTCTAGTCTGTCTTGTCAAAATGAAAAAACTGATTGTTTTTTATACCACTTCAGTCTAAATTTCCAATGACTCTCACTTCACCCAGAGTGGAACCCAGTGGAACTGAGACACTGACAAGACTAACTAGATAAAGAAGTGGGACCCTGAATGATAGGGACGGTGGAGGACAGTGGTTCCTAACCCAGACTTTGCACTTCCCTGGGGGAATTCAACAGAACATAGAAATGCCTGAGGCCTCACCCCAAACCAGAATAATCAGACCCTCTGGGATTTGGGCCTAAGTGTTAGTTAGTACAGTTAAAAAACTCCTTAGGAAATTTTAATGCACGGTATGGATTGAAAATCTCTGGGTTAAAGGAATTGAGGGGCCCTGAAACAGAGGGGTGGGAAAACAGAAATGACACAAAGGCAGTGGGTGCCTTGAGAGACTAAAGGAGCCATGCCCCTTGAAGGGCTGAGGGACCATTGAAGAGAATGAAAGAGCCACTCCCCAGCCCCTCGCTCCCTGTAGACTTTGTGTGGTTTGAAAGATATGGTTAAAACCTCAGTTAAAGAACTGTGGTGGCTTCTGGACTATTCACATGTGATTGACTGAGATAACAAAGTTTAACTAAAATATCCCCACTCTTTAGTTTAACTAAAATACCCCCACTCAAATAATGAAATGAAGTTTCATTATTTTTCCAAGGTTGTTCTTAAAATGGAAGCAGGAAAGTTCCAAATGGATTCACTTTCTCTGCCACCCAACATGCATTGGTTGTCACCTATAAATTAGTTCAGTTTGAGTTGGTGTTTGAATACTGACTAGGTTTTTGTTGCTAAGTATCTGTGCTAGCCAGGCCCTTCACAGGCTCACTTTGGAATATTTACATTGGAAAGTTTACAGATGAGCTACTATCTATGACTGATGGGAATAGATTACAGAAACTCTGTCATTTCTACTAGTGCTCACAAAAAGAAATTCTGAGAAAACAAACTTTTTTTTTCAGGCTTTAGTTGGTGAAAGTTTCAGGCAAATTCCAACTAGAGAGTAGACTATGAAGCTGAGATTTTAAGGATCCCAAGGGTTTTAAAGACAACTCCTTCCCATCCCAATATAAAATGTTTCTAGTCATTCTGAGATGTCCCAAATTGATCATTGAATGGACCTCAGTACAAGTGCAAATGTTACCACAGATAACAGCATTAGCTCAATTTACCCCATTAGCTAGTCAGCTGGCAGAAGCCTGGGAGTACTGGAAAAATCAGTAAGTTCTAATGAATTAAAAGAAAGATCTGAGGTTTGGGATGCTACCCTGGACTGGTAAGACTAAAGTGGGGGGGAGACTCTAGACTCAGTCAAGTCCCCTGAACTCAGTGAAGTATATGTGGGTGTCAAAGAAAGGGAGCACTGGAAGAGGAATAAAGCAATCGGAATATATGTATTGGCTACTTTATAGTTGTTAAAAATTCAACTGAATTCATTTTCAAGATCTTAGAGTCTTTATTCAGTAATTCATGAATGGGGTAGTACCCCAGTCAATCTAGCAGAGAGAAGTGAATTCTGAGGAGCTGTAAAAAATGAAGTACTTTTTAACCAGATTCACCCCAATCATTCAATAAAAAGGAAAAAATAAAATGAAGCACTTTTATAGTTAGAAGGGATCAAGAACAAGGAAGTTATACTAGGAACAAAAGGAGGTTGATTATTGCCAGGTTCCTTTCCCTATAGGGGATAGCAGAGGCTTATCAGGCAAATTACCTAACTAATGCTGATCAGGTATTTCCTGATTGGCTGGTTTGATTTCATTTATTGGGGAGCCGAAAGTGTAATTAAGTTTCTGCATGGTGATATGGGGCTTAGCATAAACACATCTATATTGGGCCTATTATTTGGTCTTGAGTGTACTCCCTAACCAGGAGACTGAACACAATGAAACCTGCTCAACTAAGAGGAAAATATAGGGTTAAGTCAAAGTCTCTTGAGCAAAATCTTTTCCCTGAGGTTCATTGTAAATATGAGCTCATGCCAAGAAATGTGCTATATACTCACGCTGGATAAGTCTTTGAACTGCTCTTTGTGAATCACATATTGCACTGAAGACTTGACTAATGGACAGCTAGAAGTTTATACTTTCCCCTTTGACAAACAAGGATATATTTTGGTTACGCCTCTCAAAACATTCAGATACCCAAACAAACTCTATGCTAGGGATGGAAGTTACAAGTTTACAAAATATTAAGGACCAGTCTTTAAGTTATTTAAGTTAAGGACCATACTAAGTTATAACAGGGGGAGTAGACTCTGATGTGGAAGCAAAATATTATATGCATAATATTTCATTTGTTAGTCATCTATCTTGTCTTTTACTTGCCATACTGTAAAATTTAAGATTCTCAAGCCTGCTCTATACTCTTATCTAATCAAGAGTACTGATTAGCTTTGAGAACACATCTCCTGATAAGAATCTCAGAAAGAGTAGAAAATAATATTTCCTTAGAGCTGCAGAAGAGCAGACATTATCCCACATGGTACAGCCAGCTCTGATAAAGTGCAGAACTTTTGACATTCACCAAAATATCAACTTCACTCTCTTATCCAATGTGAAGGCATATAAAAACTGTAATCTTATCCTATCTTTCTTCTATTTAACAGAAAAGTCTTTTAAGACACCTGGACTTTTGAGTACATTGCTATACATCCTCTGTCAAGAACCTTATAATTGCTAGAAGTCTATCGTTCTGATTGGTAAAGGTATGTAATAACTTTTCACTCAAGTAATAACTTCTTTTCTTAAAAGTATAAATGTTTACAGGATCTCTTCACTAAGCATGAAGAGTATCAAAATGTTCTTCTTTTCCCTTTATATATAAAACTGTAGTAAACCCAGGATTCTGTTGTATTCCTTAGTTAAACCACGAGTTTGACAGTCTTCATCTCATTTAAATTCACACTGCAAACTGCTCTGATAGAGGAGAAACTAAGTGTCATAGCTGTCAACAGAAAATACCAGCTCTCTTTGAGGATGGGGACTTGAGAAAGCTTCTCATAGGAGGTGACTGACTGGCTATGCTGTGTGGGAGCTATAAAATTCCTGCAAGCAAAGCAGAGGGGAAGGGTTGAGGAGAGAGCCTTTCCAGTGGAATGAGTTGTAAGGCCTTGAAAACACAGTACCTTTTGTTCACACACTATTGCCTGTTTCAGTGTGGTGAGGGGTGGAAGTTGGTTTCTGAATTAAGCTGAAACAGTTGATTGGGTTGATTAATTAACTTCTTAATTAAGGCTTTAACGTATTACAGAATTTACTTGCTTAGTTTACCTATATTTCACTTTTAAGAAATTTTCTCCTAAAGTGCTTAGTTTCAACTGCTTCTTTTCTTTCCCAGCTTGCCACATATTTTCTTATGCATTTATGATTTGGGTTCAGGAAGGAAGACTTGTACTTTGTACCCTATTGTCCTCTAACTCTGAGAATGTCTCACCTTAAGATTCTTAGGCCTAATGGATTCTTGGTTTTAGAATTAAAAATTGGAGTTCTTGTAGCTTTTGGAGTGGTGCTATATAGCCACATAACTAACAGCTAGGAGTGTTGAAGAAGTAAACTCTGCATTAGGAGGGAAATTAGATGATCTGGGGCCCCTTTCCAACTCTGAAGCTTTCGATTATATCATCAAATAACTTATTATTAACAACACTAATAATCTTTCTTTTTAAAGTATTAAGAATATATTTATTAAACAAAGTAAAACTGAAAAACCAATTATGTGCCTTTTTCCTAAAGGACATTGCTTCAAAGTGCTGCCATGCTGAATCAAGAATCCTCTATTTCACTCTTGAAAGTCATGGAGAACAACTTCAGCATGGTTGCCAGGTCACAGTATCAGAAGAGTAGATGTGGGCAAAACAATTATACTAGCGTTTAAGGAAGATGCCCAGAGCCACCAGCTGCAGGTCTGGGTGGGCGAAAAAAAGACAAAACTGTGGAATTGGGACTCATATCTAATTTTTAGGGTGTGGATCCCTGGGTACACTGAAGACTTGATGAATTATTTTTAATTACTTCAGATATTCTGGTGAATATGGGTGCTTCATATCACAAGTAGAGTGTTTCCACTGAAAAAGGTGACATTTTGTTCCTAAAAAAAAAAAAAACAGTTCTGAAAAAAATTCTTATGCATGATATACTGCATTGATCTCAGAATATGTTGGAAATACTTACCAAATCCACTGTGTCATTCTGTTCTGTAGATGCTGGTAAATGAAAAAAGTATGATGCTTGATGCTTTTCAGTTCCAGTTCATGTTTATATTCAGAAGCATTGGGGTTCATATTATCACACAGGGAAGTTGAAGCAGACATAGCTGGTATGAGGCCAGCTGGCACATTTATAGATTGATTGGCATTCTGTAGCTTGAGCAACTTACGCTTCATTGCTGTGTGTCTTTCTCTCAGAATCTTCATTTCAAGGTTTTTCTCTTCAAGTTCATGTTCAGAGGCATTGGGGTCAATGTTTTTACCCAGTGATGCTGATGACGTGGCTGGTAGGAGGTCAGCTGCCACACTTAAACATTGAATGGCTTTCTGTAGCTTGAGCAACTTGTGCTTTATTGCCACATTTCTTCCCTTCAGAATCTTCATTTCAAGTTCATTTTTACATTCAGGAGCATTGTGGTCAATATTATCACCCAGGGAAGTTGAAGCAGGCATAGCTGGTAGGAGGCCGACTTCCCCATTTAGACATTGAGTGGCTTTCTGTAGCTTGAGCAACTTATGCTTCATTGCTACATTTTTCCCTCTCAGAATCTTCACTTCCAGGTTTTTCTGTTCATGTTCATATTCAGAAACATTTTGCTCGATATTTGCACCCAGTGATGCTGATGACATTGCTGGTAGGAGACCTGCTGCCGCATTCAGATATTCAGTGGCTTTCTGTAGCTCAAGCAACTTGTGCTTCATCGCTACATTTCTTCCCTTCAGAATCTTCATTTCCAGATTTTGTTGTTCCAATGGATTTTTATATTCAGAAGCATTGTGGTCAATATTATCACCCAGGGGAGTTACATCAGGTATAGCAGGTACAAGACCAGCTGCTGCATTTAGACAATGAGTGGCCTTCCGTAGCTTGAGCAACTTGTGCTTCATTGCAACATTTCTTCCTCTCAGAATCTTCAGTTCGAGGTTTTTCTGTTTGAGTTCATGTTCATATTCCGAAGCACTGGGGTCAATGTTTTCACCCAGTGATGCTGATGACATTACTGGTAGGAGACCTGCTACCTCATTCAGATATTCAGTGGCTTTCTGTAGCTTGAGCAACTTGTGCTTCATTGCTACATTTCTTCCTCTCAGAATTTTTACATCAGGGTTTTTCTGTTCAAGTTCACATTCATATTCAGAAGCATTTGGGTTGATGTTTTCACCCAGCGATGCTGATGACGTGGCTGGTAGGAGACTTGCTGCCGCATTCAGACATTCAGTGGCTTTCTGTAGCTTGAGCAACTTGTGCTTCATCGCTACATTTCTTCCTTTCTGAATCTTCATTTCCATATTTTGCTGTTCCAGTTTATTTTCATAGTCAGAGGCATTGCGGTCAATATTATTAACCAAGGAAGTCGAAACAGGTATACCAGGTACAAGACCAGCTGCCACATTTAGACACTGAATGGCCTTCCGCAACTTGAGCAACTTATGCTTCATTGCTACATTTCTTCCTCTCAGAATTCTTACATCAGGGTTTTTCTGTTCAAGTTCACATTCATATTCAGAAGCATTGGGGTTGATGTTTTCACCCAGTGATGCTGATGACATTGCTGGTAGGAGGCCAGCTGCCACATTTACACATTCAGTGGCTTTCTGTAGCTTGAGCAACTTACGCTTCGTCACTACATTTCTTCCTCTCTGAATCTTCATTTCCAGATTTTGCTGTTCCAGTTGATTTTTATAGTCAGAGGCATTGCGGTCAATATTATTAACCAAGGAAGTTGAAACAGGTATACCAGGTACAAGACCAGCTGCCACATTTAGGCACTGAACGGCCTTCCGTAGCTTGAGCAACTTGTGCTTCATCGCTACATTTCTTCCTCTCTGAATCTTCATTTCCAGATTTTGCTGTTCCAGCTCATTTTTATAGTCAGAGGCATTGCGGTCAATATTATTAACCAGGGAAGTCAAAACAGGCATGGCAGGTACAAGACCAGCTGCCTCATTTAGACACTGAGTGGCCTTCCCTAGCTTGAGCAACTTATGCTTCATTGCAACGTTTCTTCCTCTTAGAATCTTCACTTCCAGATTTTTCTGTTCAAGTTCATGTTCATATTCCAAAGCACTGGGGTCAATGTTTTCACCTAGTGATGCTGATGACATTGCTGGTAGGAGACCTGCTGCCTCATTCAGAAATTCAGTGGCTTTCTGTAACTTGAGCAAGGTGTTCTTTATTGCTACATTTCTTCCTCTCAGAATCTTCACTTCCAGGTTTTTCTGTTCAAGTTCATGTTCATATTCAGAAGCATTTGGGTCAATGTTTTCCCCCAGTGATGCTGATGACATTGTTGGTAGGATACCTGCTGCCGCATTCAGAAATTCAGTGGCTTTCTGTAGCTTGAGCAATTTCTTATTCATTGCCACATTTCTTCCTCTCAGAATCTTCTTTGCCAGATTTTGCTGCTCCAGTTGATTTTTATACTCAGAGGCATTGTCAATATTATTACCCAGGGAAGTCGAAACAGGTACAGCTGGTACGAGACCAGCTGTAGCATTTAGACACTGAGTGGCCTTCCGCAGCTTGAGCAACTTGTGCTTCACTGCAACATTTCTTCCTCTCAGAATCTTCAGTTTGAGGTTTTTCTGTTCAAGTTCATGTGTATATTCAGAAACACTGGGATCAATGTTTTTATCTACTGATGCTAATGACATTGCTGGGCGGAGGCCAGCTGCCACATTTAGACATTGAGTGGCTTTCTGTAGCTTGAGCAACTTGTACTTCATTGCTACATTTCTTCCTCTGAGAATCTTCATTTCGAGGTTTTGCTGTTTCAGTTTATGTTCGTATTCCGAAGCATTGGGGTCAATATTATCACCCAGGGAAATCGAAGCAGGGGTAGCTGATACAAGGTTACTTGTTGCGCCTGTAGATTCAGTGGCCTTCTGTAGCTTCAGCAACTTCTGGTACATGGCTGCGTATCTGTCTGTCAGAATCCTCATTTCAAGATTTTTCTGTTCGAGTTCATGTTTATGTTCAGAAGCCTTGGGGTCAATATTTTCAGCAGCTGTCGTTGAAGACGTTGCTGGTATGAAGCCTCCTGCTGCAGTTACTGATTGAGTATCTGCCTGCAGGTTCTCTAATTTTTGCGATTCAAGTATCTCTTTTCCTAATGATAGTTTGATCTGTAAGTCCCCTTTTATTAGATCATTGTAAGCTGCAGTTTCCTGCTTATTTTCAAGATCTATATCACTATAAAATGTCATAAATCTTTCAACCTTTGGTCTCATAGATTGTTTAGTAGTCTCCACCTCCTTCCTTCTTAATTCATTTGACTCCTCTGTTTTGTATAACATCATCCTCACATCTTTAGTGCACCTAGAGATGTGTCGAGTTAAGGACACCACACTGTGGCTCATTGGCCCCAGGTCACAGCCTAAGCTAGAGCTAAGGCCACCAAACCAGGAGGCCATCACTGAGGGTTTTAGGACTGACCTGGTCTGCTCTGCCAAAAGCATCCACTGCCATTGAACAGCTCTGCCAACTGTCTCAGAACTGCCTCTCTGCCAGACTGAGAATTAAATCACAAACACCTGTTGCTAGGCAACTCCAGATTGCTGGGCATTCCATGTGGTGGCAGTTGGGAAGAGGAGACTTGCCTTGGGCCTGAGAACAGGCCCTTCTCCAGTGATATTTCCCCCGTGGGCCTCCTCTGTTTCCTGAGGAGGAAATATACGTTGCCTGATATTGTTGTCACACAGCTCATGTTGTCTTGCACCTTGTGATTTCCATGCCACCACTTTTTTCACATTTGAGGTAGAATTGACACAGTGACACTCATCCATCTTAAGGGCACAGTTGGGCTCATTTGGCAAATGTCCACGCCTGTGCATCAGCATCTACACTGGTATTCTTTGAGTTGCCATTCATAATGCCCACTACTCGAGAGCTGTCATTAGAGCTATCTTAGAGTCACCCCACATGATGGCCTTGAGAGCCTTGCTTTAATCACTGATGTAGGAATTGACAAAGTAAGAAAATATTTGCTATGTTTGTATGTGATACCAGTTTGGAAGATGTGGTGGTTAGAACTGGGAAAAATTTAAATGAATATCTTAAAAAATAAACAGAACACACATTGATGGGTAAGTTAGAGGTACATTTAGATTTTTTAACTAATGAAATCTAAGGTCAAAATAGCGTTATTTCTGAGAAGAGGACTCAAGAAAATACTTCATACAATGGTGAAGGACTTAACTATTGTTGGAAAATTGTCTACTCTACTATAGTTATAATAAGGGTTAATATTATAACATAGCAAATGTTTTCACGTAGATAGCTGCTATGCAGCGTCAAGACTTTCCTCATTGGAAGTTGAGTGATGTTGTTTAAGACCCTGCTTTCTAGAGTCATACTTTCTAGATTTAAAGCAGGGTCCTGTACAAATTACCATAATGTGGGCAGTTTATGCTACTGTTTCCTAGTCTATAAAAGGAGTAAAAGATAGAGGGTGGTTTACACACTGTTCTGCAGATTAAGTTATAATATAAAGTGCTTTGATCAGGAATTGGCTTATAGTAAGTTTTCAAGTGCTATTACTGTTCATTTTAAAATTCAAGTTCTGTATTATGGGTATGTGGTTATTTATTATCCTTAAACCAGGAAGTTTTAAAAGTTAAAAATTCTGACCTATCACTTAAGTAGCTTTTGAGATCTTTATCTTTTTGATGGCAGAGTGTTTAGTCACATCACTGACCTGGCTGTATCATTAGGGAAACATGAATAACTATAAATGGAAGTTTTGTTTAACAGTATAATCTTAATTCTAACTTAAAACAGTTCATGCTATCTTTCTCTATTTTAGCCCTTAATTATACAGTCAGTAGGAGGCAGAACACAGAGCATGGAGATAACAAAGACAGGCACTGAAGGCAAAATTAAAGGTAAGATTTTGAATAAAATGTTCATAGTAGGAATGAAATATGCTCAAATATGTTGTTATACTTGTTAAAGACACCTGTCAACAATGTACAACTTAATAGGGTGTTACATGCTGCTACACAGAAGCACCATGAAGGTAAGGATCTTAGTATGCTTGTTCTCTGATGTTACCCGCCCCCACCCCACCCCCTCACTGGTTAGAACTGTGCCTGGAGCATAGTAAGCACTTAGCAGCTATTTGAATGATTAATGAAATTGTTACTTAATTCAATATACAGTATTGGCCAAAATTATTAAATTCATTTTAATAGCTCCTAGTGTACATTTCTTTGCATGAAATAGACAAGTATTTGTTGAGTCAATTTATTTAAGCTACATTATTTGCATTCCTTATTGTAGCTACAGAAGATTAAAGGATGTTATTTGCCTACAAACTCCTAACAAAGATGAACTTAATTTTAAAGAGGAAAAAATAATCCATTTGACAAGTAAGGTATTTCTCAGTTTTTCACTGAATCATGTAATTTAGTCGCAGAAAGATTTCTCAATATTCTAACATTTAGCTCTATAAGAACTAAGTCTTGTCTTATTTGTTTCTGTGCCCTGAGAACCTGGCATGTAGTGGGTGCTCAGAAAGTTCTTTTTGTTTTCTGTTTTGAGAAAATGTTGATTGCCTATCTTTGTTATGACTGAGACATTGGGAATTATTTTTACCATCATGCAGTGTTTTGTCTCTAACCCTAACCCCCCCCCCTCCAGGTTTCTGGCCTCACTTCTTCCACCTCATTCCTTTTTTCCCACCTAATGTTTTTTATATTGTTTGTAATAAAAGAACAAAGAAAAAATAAACAATTTCAATGTCCCTCAACATGTAAATGGTTATGAAACTTCATACTGTAAATCATGGTGCTGCAATTTAAAAGAATGACGTAGTTTTATAACTTGAAATGAATTAAGGCAAAAGAAAAAGAAAACCCTGTAGTGTTGGGATATGGGTAGAATCCTATAATTACTGTTTTCAGTAGAGCAAAATTATTAATATTTTGTCTCTGGTATAATCCTATTAATTAGTTTTTCAAATTTCTTCCCACTCTTTTAAATTAATGATCAGATGAATGAATGTATATGATTTTTAATATGCACATCGTTTGGACTAATTTCTCACAGGAGGATGGCACTTGGAAGGAATTGAAAAAGATCCTGTTAATTTCTAAAACAAATAAATACTGTGATTAATTTTTAGTATATAATGTGTTGAGAAAAATGTTAGTTAAGACACAGTTTGTAAATTTCTATTCTCTCTGCATCCTCCTCTCCCATTTCCTTTCCTTTTCCCTTGTTCTCTCGAAACTTTTCATCCTTGTAAATTAAATTTCAAAATCCATTTGATTCATTTAAAATGAATTAAACCCAGTTTACAACTACTGCTAGAAGCAATATGTGAGGAATATTTTCTGTTAGGATGACCTCATGATTTGTTTATGTCTTGTATTCTTTTCTTGTAAAAATAATGAAATACAATAGTTTCCTAGTTTGTAATATTTTTCCTTATTTAAAGATAATAACTATTGTCTTAATTATTCTGCACTGTGCATTTTAGGAGATTAGAAAAGCTGGCTGGTGGGAAGGTAAGACACAGTCTTTGCCTTCTTATAGAATTTAATATGTCTACATCACTCCCACAGTGAATAAAGTGAGGCTGAGTCATGCATCAGTGATCTTTTGCTTTTCCACAACTTGATCCCTTCTTTCCCCATGGAGAAACAGATGTAATTTAGGTTTTTAAATATGGAGAGAGAAAGAGAGTTAGAGAGCAGACACACAGAGCAAGACAGTCTACCATATGTGATTAAAGCCAATGCAGAAATCTCTAACCTTTTCAGTCTTTTGTTTAGTTAGGTAAATCACTAGAGGTAACTCTGTGGAGGCTTACACTGTCTGAGGACCTTCCTTTGCTAAATTTCATTCACTATAAATTCAGTATTCAGTGTGATTTATGTTTATACTTTCCTTTTCTTTTTCTTTTTTAATATATTTTATTAATTATGCTATTACAGTTGTCCATTTTTTCCCCTTTGCCCCCTTCCACTCGGTACCCTCCATTCCTCCAGCAATACACACCCCTTGGTTCATGTCCATGGGTCATGCATAGAAGTGCTTTGGCTTCTCCATCTCCTATAGCTCTCTTAATATCCTCCTGTCTATTTTGTACCTACCAATTTGTACTTCTTATTCCCTGCACCTTTTCCCCCATTCTCCCTCTTCCCCATCCAAACTGATAACCCTCCACATGATCTCCATATCTATGATTCTGTTCCTCCTCTGCTTGTTTGCCTGGTTTGTTTTTTAGACTCAATTGCTGATAGTTGAGGATTTATTGCCATTTTAATGTTTTAGTTTTGATCTTCTTCTTTTTCTTAAATAAGTCTCTTTAACATTTCATATAATAATGGCTTGCTGATGATGAACCCCTTTAGCTTTACTTTGTTTGGGAATCATTTTATCTGTCCTTCCATTCTAAATGATAGCTTTGTTGGATAAAGTAATCTTGGTTGTAGGTCCCTTCTTTTCATCACTTTGAATACATCTTGCCAGTCCCTTACTGCCTGAAAATTTTCTTTTGAGAAATCAGCTGACAGTCTTATGGGAACTCTCTTATAGGTAACAAACTTATTTTCTCTTGCTGCTTTTAAGATTCTTTATCTTTAACCTTTGGCATTTTAATTATGATGTGTCTGGGTGTGGTCCCCTTTGCGTCCACCTTCTTTGAAATTCTCTGTGCTTCATAGACTTGCATGTCTATTTCCTTCATCGAATTAGGGAAGTTTTCTTTCACTATTTTTTCAAATAAGTTTTCAACTTCCTGCTCTTTCACTTTTTCTTCTGTCACCCCTATGGTTAGAATGTTGGTATGTTTGAAGTTGTCCCAGAGGCTGTTTGGCCTATCCTTGTTTTTTTGGATCCTATTTTCTTCTTGCTGTTCAGATTAATGTTTTTTTCTTCCTTACATTCCAAATCATTGATTTGATTCTCAGCTTCACCCACTCCACTGTTGATTCCCTGTAAATTTTTCTTTATTTCACTTAATGCAAATTTCATTTCTAATTGGGTCTTTTTTATAGTACCTATTGAGTTCCCTGAGCATCCTAATTAATATTCAGTGTTTTGAACTATGCATCTGATAGATTGCTTATCTCCATTTTGTTTAGTTCTTTTTCTGGAGTTTTGTTCTGTTCTTTCGTTTGCGCCATATTTCTAATCTCTTCATTTTGGCAGCTTCCCTGTGTTAGTTTTTATGTATTAGGTAGAGCTGCTTTGACTCCCTGTCTTGGTAGCATGGTCTGTTGTTCAAAAGCACACTGGTAGGTGGGATGCAGTGGGGCCTTAGATAATCACCAAGGTATGCCAACCTGTGTGACCCAGGTTCATGGAGTCTCTGATACGGTGTCAATGCTCTCTGGTCCTGTGTGGGTAGGTATTGAAAGGGGATGAAGCTGATGCTTGGCCTCTAAATTTTGTCTGGGAGGAAGAAGTCCCCTGGCACTCACCCTGATGCCAGATAATTCCATTTTTTCTCATACACCACTGGTTTTCTTCAAATGCTGCTCCAGTGCTGGAGCCCAGACAGAATCTGTGTAAGGCCTAAGTCTGTCGTGGGCCCTTTAAGGGCAGAGTCCTGAGAATTCTGTGGTTTCTTCTGCTGCCCAAATCCCCACTGGTTTTATGGCCAGAAGTTATGAAGACTTATCTTCCTGGTACTGGAACCCTTGGCTGGGTGGTCTGCTGTGGGCCTGGGATCTCTCATTCCAGAGGTATCCTCCAATTTTTATCTACCTTGCCTGGGTGTGGGACTGCCCATTCCACATCTCTGCACCCTCTCTGCCTGTCCATGCATTTCTGCCTCTCCTCTCCTCCTACCCATCTCGATGAATGTGACTTCTTTAATTCTTTGGTTGTTGGGCTTCCATATAGCTCAATTTTCTGAAGATTCTAGTGATAGTTGTTTTGTAGTCCAATTGTAATTTTTGCTGTGGTTGTACAAGGAGGTGAGCCATGGTTACCTAAGCCTTCATCCTGACCTTTACTTTTCTTAGTAAACACATTCTCTTTTGCCTGTTGTTAGATGTTTTTATAACATTAATTATCAGTAATTTTTAATTAGGAAAACCCAAATTTACATACTTGGGAATGTGCCTCAAGTTTTTTAAGGCATTAAATGAAGTCTTAAAAATAAGTGATGGCTTTCACATCTAAGAGAATTTGAATAAGTTGAGGAAAAACCGATCTTTGTCTTTAATTTTCTCTTTGAGAGTTCTAGAGTCAAGAATGA